AGAGAGACAGGTGAGGTTGTTTCTATCTCTCACCCAAAAGGTAGGACCATACAAGAACTTCAAAGTCCAAACCCTATAAAAGCTTTCCAATGAAAGCCTAGCAGCACCGCCCAAAATGTAACATCTCATTCCATTTGAGAATGCACAGGGTCAAGGAAAACTGGGCTTGCCATGTCAAAGATCCAATAAAAAATGAGTTTTAGTCTACCTCAGGTGACCTTAAGGATTTTTCACCTATTGCTCTTTTCATTTTACACGTACTAGTAGGTTGTGCAAATACATGTACATTCAGATCAACTGCTAACTGGTAAAACACGCTAACCGCTATTCGTTGCTTCTTCAAGGGCCAGTTCCATTCTTCATGTACTAGGCCTTTCCCTCTCAATCTCAAGTACATGTAAATGCCACACTGCTGGCGCACAGATATGGTAGATAGCCTTGATCAATATTCACTTCTCTTTTCAAACAATGGGAGGAAGCACTGATATTGCCCCAGACAGGCGGTCCTACAACCACAGTCTCCCACCCAAAAACAACAACGACAACAACACACGTTCAAGCTTAATTGGTGCTGTTCACATTAAATTGCAGCGATGTTGCATTTGGCATTGGTAGTGATAAATAGATGCAAACAAGACTGCTCTTTGCTCCCACTGGAGGGTTGGGTTTTCAGCCATCCGCCTCTGCTACAATTATAACGTCTGAAGACTGACCGTTATTGGAAAAACAGAGAAAACAATGGCAAAATCAATACTAGGCTTTGGGGATGATATGCGGAGAAAACGGTCGAACGTTTCATTGGATGGACAGGAGAACAGCTGGTTAAGTCAGGGAGTCTGGTAGGAAGAGACTGGGGGTTTTGGAAGACAAAGGCAGAGAAATGGTAACAAGAGGTAAATTTGACATCAATTTGACTTGGAAATTTTTCTCTTAAAAAAAAAAAAGGTGCGTAGCTGGTAATGTTGTAAGGATGCGGTTGCCGTGACAACATGGCCCGAGACATGAGCAGGAAATTAAAATGGAAGGGAGGGGGGGTTGCTGTTTGTAAGTGGCATCTGATTCACTGATCAGCCAGGCAGAAAGAATTGCCGAGGAATTACTAGCACAAGGGGGGGGGGAGGAGATGAGAGGCACTCAAATTGGCTGGAAAATCTTATCAGAAAGACGCTTCTGGAGGACGGGCGGAAATGGGGGAGGCATCTGCTACTAAGATTTGGGGCTTGCTAACAAGGTGACTCTTGCTTACTCTCTTATCTTTATAAGCTGGGCCTGTTCTGTCTGTGCAAACACGGTTAGGAAACAACCGGAAATGCAAGGAATCAATTTTCAATTCTGAAATATGCATTGATATGCATTGATTCAAAGCCTGCTGGAGAGTTTTTGTAGGTCGTTAATATTTAAAGAAAAAACAAATACATATATCAGCGTATGCATAGTTCGTGGTTTCATGTAATTGTAGCATTGTTTTTAGATTGTTGCACAGCAGACAAGGAAAATACAGCACAATTGTCAAATTATCAGTACAACGAAAGCTCATCCAAACTCGGATAAACAAACCCACGGTTAATTAAATAATCTTACAAATCAATGACAATGCAGGAAGTACCAATGCAAACAAACAACAGACAGCAGCACAAATAGCATTGAAACATGATCTGCCTAACAGCCGAACACTGAAAATAAATTGTAAAATGACAAAATGTTTCAATTCTGCAGCATCGATGCACACACAAGAAAATTCAACAAATGTTCCTTATGGTATGGTGAAACAAATTTCAAAGATATTTATGGCAGACGTCACAGTGTCCATAGCAATTTCCCTGAGAAAAAAGGTTGCTGTTGCCCAGATTCAATAAACTGCAGGTTCTCTGACCAGTTTTTTTCCTCTTACAAATCCAAATAAAATTGACCAATAGACCTACTTTTGCTGTGAGAGAAAAATTAACCAAAGTTGACCTTTCATAAAACTGGGAATTGCCCAGTGACTACATAGCAGCCGAGCGCTTGCAATAAATTTGCAATTTAAGTCCTGCTAGGAAATTCACTTGAGATGAAGTTGCTGAGACAATGTTTACATCGCCAGTGCAAAGAGGATAAATACACTCTTGGTGTCAGATAAAAATCAAGAATTTTTCAGAACTTTGAGAAAGAACTATAAAAGCTAAGATTTATGTGGAAAGCTCCATCTTTGTCAATTCTTGACTTCAACCACTATAACGCACTTCACACACTTCTTGTTATTTTATTTCTACTCTTTCTGGTTTTTTTTACCTTGCTCCCTGGAGCTGTCAATCATCAGAAAGAAAAACACAACAGCATGAGTCTCCATGGGGCTACAGAGTGGCACATTAATAGAACAGAGAACGGCAAGAGAGGCCAATGCAAGGAAATGGCAGAGAGTGGCCAGTGCCAATCCCCTCCCATCCACTACAATGTCCCCAATTTGTATGAAAACCTCCAACGATTTGAGGTCTTTTGTTTGAAAACCTGTCGATATGTAGGGGGGGTCCTGGTAACAAGCTTCCAGAGAATGGTTCACTGTTCGTTTCTACTTGGGCATGTATCCCTAAAGACAAGAAAAACATAATGTCAATGGACTTTTTTCTTTTCTTGCGAGCTTGGCTGATTTTTAACATCGGGACTGAAAGAACTGCTCAGATCCTTAGCATTAAAGCCCTGGCATTGCCCTCTGGTAATACGGAAAAAAGAGTTTATACTGCTGGCTTTTCACTCTTTCCTTTTTTGTTTACACCCAGCCAACTTGGTGTGAGTTTTAAGACCATTGTTCAGAAGTTGCTCTGTGTCAAAAGCTCAGTTCCAAACTCTGACACTTGCCGGCGACCCTTGGTCCCCGCCGGAGTTTACTTCCAGGCATGCTTCTCAGGATTTGTCGAGTTGAGCGTGAAAACGCAGAGCCAGAGGGGCTTGTTTTCTGGGTTTTTTTAACAAGACTGAACCAGGCAAAATCAACAAACAAAGACTGGAGTACAGCTAACATCCGGTGAAAATATTTGAAGTTAAACAGAAAAGCACACCGAAGGGAATACATAAAGCCTAGAAGTTGGCGTGACTCCAAGTTTGACAAGAATCGAACGGACTGTGAGTTAACAACAGTATTCATCCCACAACATTTAACGTTTAAAAAAAAAAAATCCAGCAAGGGAAAGAAGAGAGAAAAATGCATGACAAACAAATCAAGTTGAGGCTGGTCCCCGAGGAATTCCCATTGGGAGGGTATAAGCAAAATAAAACTACAACTCTGAGCTGCAACAAGTCCCCCGTTCAGAATACAAATGAATCAGCGCTCGGCTCAGACGGAACAAACTCGACAGCGAGTCCAATTATTAACAGCGCAACCGATAAGATCTCTGCAAACAAAATTTGGCTGTCATTTTTAATGCACGGCCCTTCTCCACATGACAATGGAGAGTACGTCCTTGCCTCCGTCCTCCCCCCCCCTTCCCTTCCAAACCAAGCGGGAATAACCCGGAGTAGATTTTCGGACGAAACGGCACAAAATGCACTTTACAAATGAACAAAAAGAAAACGAAAAAAACCAATTATGGGAGGAGGACAGGGTCGAGAAATGAACGGGTACGGGGAGCAGAACGGTGATCGAAATGGACAGTCATATACCAATGAGTAATCTTATGCTCAGCAAACACTCCAGTGTTTGCTCTGGCAATTCTTTGAATGGTCTCCCTGAAGTGATTGTTGCCGTTCAAAATGCCTAACTTGCATTCTCATGAAATCACTGTTATTTCCGCACAAACCAATAACGGCCAGCTACATATCTTCACCTACCCAAATGTGTGACTGGCCTCCAAATGTTGTTACCCCCTCCCTTGAAAAAAAAACAAAAAAAAAAACAAGGAGAGGCAAAAACGAGGTGATGAGAGTTAGCGCAGGCAGTCAAAATGTTGACGGTGGGACTTTTCAATTGGGTACGTGCTGGGAATTCCAGGCAGAGTACACATTTGTCTTGTTATGGACTAAGTGGCTAAAATTGCCACAGACAGAGAACAAACTACATAATGCGCGGTATTCCAAACAAGTGCACAAAGCTGCAGGGAAACAAAAAACACTCTCTAAAGAGACACCGTCTGTCACAGCAAGCAAGAATATTCATTTGGAATTTACACAGGGTAATTTAGCAAATATGTTCAAAATGCTTTCGGTAAATTATCTATACATTACGTGTAAAGGTCTTCTTCACATTCCAGTCACACAAATGCACGTGCATTACTGTCCGGAGTGATCGATCCGATTTTAGCAGGGCAAAGACCAGTAAAATGGCAAAACAAAAAATCTCTTGATCCCCCCGGGGGGAGGGGAGGGAAGAGGTTGAAAGCTTTGCCCCAACCGAGCCCTAATCTAGCATTTAATGCACATTTCTTCCCCTCCCACTCGCCACATCCTCCAATTAATCCCCGCCTCTCACAAAAAAAGCTTAACGCTAATTGAACGAGGACCCACAATTTTTCAGGATGCCTGCGGCCAGCCTAAGATGATTTCCAGAGCTGCCTGCAGCAAAGGAGACCAGCCAAGTAAACCTCAATGACCTATCTCACTTTTTCTCTTTCTCAATTTCTTTCCCGTCTTAATGATGGTACACGTGCCCCTGAATTCTGGACATAAACATATCTTTTTCTTCTTCACTGGTACAATGTTAACTGAGGTACACACAATACATGAAGTTCCAGGTGGCATAGTGTAATTATTTTCCTTTTAGCTACAGCTTCAGAGGAGGCAAGTGCATAATATTTCAAATAGTACCCTACAAACAATCAGTTAAAGAAGTGCCGAGTATCAGTAAGGTTGTAAACTGCAGGTTACGGAATTCAATTTTCGCCACACCCTTAATAATCAACAGTAAACCATTGGGGAAATATCCAAGATGGAATATGAAGACATTGAAACCAACGGCAAATACCTGTGTCTGCATTAAAGTTAACCGTGCAAACTCCAAAGTTGTGCCTCTGAAGGAAACTGGTACTCACCACTTCTGTTGGTCGGTAAAACTTCTCGTCCACGCGCACTCGCACTATTCCCGTGGCCTTGTCTTTGCCTACTTCTTCAGTTCCTTTGCCTTCCCACCTTACAAAAAACCAAAACAAGAAAACAAGAATTGCTTTTGTGATAAGTTCTGAATTCCTTTCGGTTCCTGGAATTTGGCAGACAAGTTCTGAATAACTAAGACATTTGAACATTTCAAGTACATGTACATCGAATATGGGACGGCAGGAACAAATTTGAACAGTATACCTCCAAAGAATCACATTGAGAAGAAGCTGGTATCATTTGGCGAACTTAAAAACTTGGTACATTTGCTTTGCAGGATGTAACCATTCCAATATTAGGGGCATTTGAGAGTCAACACTGTTGGAATTGTTGTGTTGGAGATGTGACCCATTTTATCGTCAAAGATTTCAAATTCACACTTTCCGCAGGTTCTCAGAAAAACCAAACAACTGATGAGGCATGGCTGATGAAATGTGACCTGCTTTGCAAAAATGCATCTGAAGTCACTGGGGCCATTTTTGAGTTGTACTCTGCCTTAGGTTTAGGAATTTGAGCTCTTTATTTTGATGTGTGACTATTAAAATGTTGAGGATTCCTATTGCTTAAACGCTGTGCCAGGTTCTTTCAAAGGCATTTCACTCCAAAGTGGTTCTGGCGACACGTGACTCAGTTTCGCAGCGCGGGTCACAAGTAACAGTAAGAACAATAACAGTAAGAACATGGCTATGGCAATTACGTGTTGATTGCAGTAGACTGCGGAATTTAACACACTGGTTACGTCTGGTAACCAGTGTCTAATTACGTCTGGTTACTGGGCTCAACAAAAGAACAGAAAGTCTTGGATTCTCCCCAGGGAACAAAGCTTCAAAGCAGTGTCAAGGGGAATGTCACCATAATAATAATTATTCCAAAAGTCCACGGTTCCAGAGCAACTCGTCCAAATTCTAAATACGTAGTTGTTGAAGCAACATACTGTATTTCACCTGAACTTTTCTTGCTCTTAACCTGCACATGCAGTCGATATTGTCTCTTGATATCTTGTCTTGTTGACTTTTGGGGGAGGGTGTGTTCTGGTGAACATCCAACCAGCCTGGTAGTTTTTCACTTGAAGTGGAAACTGTCCGGCCAGTTGGATGCTAAGCCTTGAGCTAAACTCCAGTTTCACCGATTTCAACATAATGAGACTGCCTAGTACTACGTGCATGCTTTCAGCTATTCTGTAAATGATATCAGCACGGGTGTAACAGTACACCCCTATTATTTGTTACCGTTTGTTCACACACACCAAGGAACACCATGAAAAGCCTTTTATAAAACAAAAATACATGTGACTGCACAATTTCTGTAGTCTACGCATTCTCATAAGAGAGCGTGAAGAAACCCAAACAGAAATGTTGCCTGAAATATTTGTCAGAGAAAAGTTAGAGAGGACGGGGAAAGCATGGGAAAGGGAGAGGAAAAGGCAGAAAAAGTGAAATGAAAAGCTGTTTGAAAGTACCACTGATGATCATGAAGAAAAACAAAAAAGGCAGTATGACTGGGATCGTCACATGGGACTTGAACCTCAGCTCGGTCAGGTTTTCTGTTTCCTTCTCCTCCTCCCCCCCCATCCTCAGAGGGAAGTCTGGTTCCGTGTTTACAATTCAATGTGCGTCACCTCGCAGGGAACAACTGTCACACAACGCCCGTGATCCAAGCCAGACAAGAGCGAGAGCGATAAAAAAAAAAATGGCTCCACTGATTCAGAAAATAGAGTTTAATTAGAACAACCCTCGCTCTTCAACCATCGTATCTCCCCCAAAAGGCCCCTGTGCTGATTTCCAAACTGCACAGAAGAACGGGACACTTTTTTCCCCCTTTCTCTTGATTTTTTTTTTCCCCTCTTTCCCTACATGAAGGGGGACAACGCTAAAATCAATTTGCGAATCCCAGTAGCTTGGGCTCGGCCGCGCTAATGGACAGGAAGCAGATAAAGGCATGACGTGGGGAAAGGGGGGGAGTAAACACTGGCTGGCAAAATGTTGTGGGATAGATTGTGCGGAGAGACGGGCGTTGGTTAAACACGGCGGTTGGTAATGCGACTGGGACATATGGGACTGCCTGTCTACGTCCACGTGGCTCCGCAGACGGGAGGAGGTCAAGGGAACTATTCCCCCACCAGGATGACAGTTAAAATTAAAACTTAGGGGGGTCCCTGCACGTTTCGGAAGGTTTTTTTATTTCCCCAAACAGATTGTCCCTTGGAATTGTTTAACATACATTATGAATCCAATTTTTCTACCAGCCGGAGACAAAAGCACTTTTCATGTGTGCATGTAAAAGTATAAAATTTACAACGAAACTTCTTGGAAATTTAATGATTTGAAGGTATGCATACACTGACAAAGCTGACCAAAAAAGTAACAAATCAAGACATCAAATATTAAGAACCCTGAACTGAACTCCTTGCCAGCAAAAAATGACATAGGGGGACGCGGTGCATTCCTCAACTAAATCCAGAAAACACTCACGTGAAATTTTGTTTTTCCTTTCCTGCAATACGTAGCCTCTTAAAATTGACCAAAAGCTGCACTTCATTTCAAGAAACATGACAGATTTTCACATACGGCTCTTTCAACAATCCCACAGAAACGGCTACGTTTATTCCTTAAATCCATTGTAATTTTTCATTATGGGTTTGGCTCCTACATTTAGGATTTGGGCTGCGCCAGTAGAAGGGGAAAAGCCCATAGTTAGAATTTAACATATCTTCAATGCATGTACATCTCTGAAATTTTTTTTTAAATCCCAGAATCAACCAAAATTTTTAAATTACATGTACAATGCAAGCAATTAATTTGACCGAAAAAAAAAACACCCAACAAATTTGCAGGTAAACTGTCCTATTTTAATTCAATTGGCCTGATACAAAGCCTCCAGTGGTCACTCAAGGTCAGGCTTACAGGGAAAACAAATTGAAAGAAAAGGCACATGAGAGAAAGAGGCTACTTCACATCGTTATTTAGCATCAGAAAAACCAGATGAAGACAACTCACTCCATTGCAAAGTGGTACATCGAACACGGCGCTACACTGACCGTAAGTTTCAGTGACTGGAGACGGATTTACGTAAGATTCGGGTTAGTTATGCACGGCCATCCCCAACCCTGGTTTACCCTACCCTAGAGGCAGGGCTAATCACCTTCGGAGTGACTTAAATCCCCACCCCCAGGGGAAATCGTCCCCATTTGCAAATGAAGAGGGGGCCACATCCATTCCAGTGTCTCTACAACGTGACCACGAGGCAAAGACGAAGCAGCCTATGTGAATGCATGATTTGGGTGATTAAGGTGAACATTTATGACTGAATCCCATAAAGTGAGTCTTAAGGCCAATTCTTAAAGTAACACCACTTTGTGGGTTGTATTAGAGAAAGCATTCTGGGTTATTTGTTGGGATGCATCACTCTGTTTGGCATCCGAATGGAACTGGACATACACGTACATGTAAAATATGTGTTAAGAGTTCCTAATTGAATCACATGGTGTAAAATTTTTCACAAGGCCTTCAACTCAAGAAGTTACTCCGGCAACTTATGACCCTATGGTGAAGTTGGGTCAGTATTTGCAATTTCTAGCAGTGATTTGGCCAGACCGTTTCTAAGGGCGATTCCTAGTCTTAGTACTTACACAATGTCCACACCGATGTATTTGAATGACTCAATGATGAATTCTCGTACACTGTGGACCTCATTGGTGGCTATCACAAAGTCATTGGGCTTGTCTTGCTGTAGCATCATCCACATGGCCTGAAGGCAGCAAAAAGGAAGAGAAAAACAGAATGGAGAAAAAGAAACATCGGAAAGACCTACCTGTACATCTTTGCGTTTTGATTTTGACTGACTCCTCGTAACAGGTTAGCTTACAAAATTATAAGCAACCTTAGCAATAATGCAAACCTTCATATCCTGACAAGAATATTGTACAAAGTCCCAAAATTATGGACCGAACGTTTACTTAAACGAAGATTGAAATATTGAACAACTGGAAATGACTGTTTAAATCCTCGAGAGTGTACCGTGACACCTCATGAAATCTGAGAGTAAAAATCTCAGTAAAAAAAAACAGGTTGAACACACTCTTAAAAATTATCTTGGCAGACTCATTAAGATTTATTTCTCTTGAGCTCTTTCAAGTGGCCAGACTGATGATGAACATTAACTGTTGACCTGTTTAATGTTAGAAGAGTAATGGGTTTGTAATAGGAGAAAGGCCATCATAACATGGCAACACTGGGAAGGTCACATCCTTGTCCTCCAACTACTGAGGACGTGCCGGTCTGACAACTGAGGACAGGCCACCAGTGTTGCCCAGAAAACAAGGGCTGGTCCATGAACATTCAATGCAGGTGGGCTGGGCGGGCTGGTGCTCACCTCCACAAAGTCCTTGGCATGTCCCCAATCTCTCTCTGAGTCCAAGTTCCCCAAACAGACGTATTCCTGCTGCCCTAGGTGAATCTTGGCCACTGCTCGAGTGATCTTCCTTGTCACAAAGGTTTCACCTGAAAGATCAAAGAAAAAAAAAACCGAAAAGTTTACCACAAGAAATGAAAATCTTTACCTCTGACCCCTTCCAAAAGTGCATGCAAGGAAACCAATAATGGCCAGTCTTCATTTTTTAAAATATATGCAAAGCGTACACAGGCAGTTAACTTTCTACCCAACGGTTCATTTTGTACACTCATGAAAATGATTGAGAAGAAAAAAAGGGATGACCCCTTAATGACATCGCTGCTCGTTTTTGTTTTTAGTTTTTTTCCTTTCACAAATAGCAGAAAGATCCTACAAGCACCAACGTGTCACCAGATACTTTTTACTTTCTGTTTGTCAGCCATATGCAATTTGTGGAAACGGACCACCTGTTCATTTTGGTGCCGAGGTTTTTCACACAGCATGCCAGTGTCTAGAGAATGCTGGTTTCACCAATCCTGTTAAGAAGTCCCTTGTGTCCTCAAGCAGGACACTTGTTGCAATAACATCAAACACAAGGGAGAGGCGACTTACATAAGCTGCATCAAAGCCCCCATCTACAATTTCCCTACAACGTGCAACCTTCCGTTATGTGCACAAAACAAGTGCCTGCATGTGGCCCTCGTGCTAAGCTACTTGTACAAAGAGCGCCCTCAACTGTTCATGCTCGGGGTGATTACCTCTCCTCGGGCTCTCGTGGTTGAAGAGAATGCCATTACAGGTGAACATGTTGTAGGCCTCGCGGAAGTTGATCGTGATCCAGTATGCATATAACTTGGCAGCGCCTGCAGTGAGATCCCAAAATATACCAGAGTCACATATTTCCAAAGCTTACCTTCCAAGAAACTTCTTCACAGTAGCGAAAAGACAAAAATGAGACTCCTACACCTTCAAGTGACTAAAACTGAGCTTTTCTACACAGTTTATAAGAAAATTTCCACACACTTTGTATTAATAATTTTGCTTTCTTCACCTTTCCTCTATTATTTCAGTCTAAACATAAATACCAGTATAAAGACCGATAGCACCAGACTCCTTCAAACGAGTTACAAAGGCCTTGTTAACACTGAGCTCAAAGTTATGCACGCACACTTGTAAAGACTGCAACAGCACCAATTTCCATGGAACACAACAAATTGCCTAACTCTTGTGAGAGCATTGAAAGAGGGAAGCATGTTGCCTAACTATTAAGCAGTGGTACTGCTGCTTATGCAGGGTCTCCCATTTTTGCCTAACTTTACAGCCCTATGCATTCCCAAGGCATTTTAACAACAGCTGTCCTTTCGGAATACTCTGTCAAGAAAACTTTATTATATCAAGGTTTTCTTTTTTGTGGGTCCTGAAAGACACTAGTAGTTGAGGTTAAATGCTGACATCTCTGTCAAAGTTGACTATACATGACCCCTTTCCATTCCCGCAATTGGCCCTTTGTTTTGACCTCACCGTAGGGTGAGCGGGGATAGAACGGCGTTTTCTCCGTCTGCGGCACCTCCTGGACTTTCCCGTACATCTCACTAGTGGAGGCCTGGTAGAAACGCACGCTGTCACTGAGGCCGCATGTCCGGATGGCGTCCAGCAGTCGCAGGGTACCGACGCCGTCCACATCCGCTGTGTACTCGCCAAGATCAAAGGAGACCTGGATGCAAAAGTGAGAAACGCACATTCGTCGTTACGCTTCAGAAGAAGTTCAAAATCAAAAGCCCAAAGCAGCAATAAGCTGAAAAACTTAACAGAGTCTCTCACCTGGCAGAACTGCAACATCGCCCTGGAATTTCAAAATTTAACACAGGTCTCTGAATAAGGCAGTGAATATGCAATTCAAAATAACACAAATAAAGAGGGCATCCCAAGTTTTATACACTTTAGACTCCTGGATACCTTTCCAACGTGTCTTTCCAACTAAAATTCATTTTTATAGTACCAAAAAAACCTGCCAACATAGATTGTCATTCACTCACTAACAACATTTTATGCTGCTTGTGAGATTTGCACTGTGGTCATCTTCAACGACATTTCCCTTTCAAATTCTGTACAAAAGCTACGGCGCATTTTCATCTACTGTGATTATTAGCCAATGTCGTATGTGTAAATATAACCCACATGTATCCACCGGAACCAAAAAATTTGACCATTACTTCCAATAGTTGCCAACCCGTTCTCATTTAATTTGGTCAAATGTAAAACACACACAAATTCAATGGTGCAGTGTAGAGCGCCCTCTACTGAGCATCACCAGTTTAGGTGTATGAAGAGCTCTATTCCATATACTATTATGCATCCACCCCCCCCAAAAAAAACAGGCAGAGCGCTTTGTATAAATGTACATGAAGCTCAGCAGCTTAGAAGCTAGCTTTGTGAGCTTAAGATTAGTGGTTTGATTCCTGCCCAGACTATCTCTCATCTAAACTGTTTTTCAAAGCGCCAGTAAGAAGGAATTCGTAAAACACCAAGGAAGAAATTTGGTGGGTATTGGCAAATCACAATAGCGCCCTCAATCGATTTTCATCTTCTAAAACTGTCAGTAATATGGCCAAACGAGGGCACTATTACAATCTGTTGGAAATTTTTTTCATTTTCTTCTAACTGTTGAGAAAATCTTTGATTGGCATGGGCGTCGCTAGATCAATTTCAATGGGGGGGTGCCATTTCAAGTGGAATGGTAGTCCGATTCCCTGACCAGACACTTACAAGCCCCCCCTTCCTTTCCCCTTCTTTCTCCATTCTTGCTGACACTGACAGCAGCACAATTATTCTGACAAAACTGACGGAGGGTGTGACACCTCCCCTTTCAGTCATTCCCCCCTTGTTCATAGGGTCTTCACGTCCATGACAATTTTCCATTCAAAACATAAAGTCTGTTGCTTTGTTACAGGTAGACTTTTTTTTAAATGAGGTAAGCGTGTCTTTTGCTTTGCTTAACTGCTAATGGTCTCCATGACATATGCAGAGCCTCAGTTAGCCTAAAATTTGTGTGCTTAGCCACGTTGTGAAACTGGACCAAGGATGAAGAAAAATGCCAGCGTTGTATATTTTAAAGGAATTCAGCACTGTTCGGAAGGAAATCTGGAGCAATACCATTCTATGTGTACTAGAGCTATAAAAAGGAAAATTCCTGTGGCAGGGCACAGAGACAGCTTGACTTTACCAGTGCTTATTATAAACTTGAGAAGTTGTTTGGATTCTGAGGTTGCAGATCTGACACTCAATCTTCAAACCACACCAGTAACTACCTGGTATGAATACTCGAGTATAAAATACCTCATACAAAACAACTGCGCTATCATTGCACAAATATGGCCATCAATACCGAAGCTACAGGAAATATGTAGAAACCACAGGCATGCACAACCATTACAAGGAAAAAAAATGTCTAGGGACATTTCTATGAAAATTAGACTCATGTCCAACACCTGGAAATACAAAATATTTATATCCAAATACCAGGTAATTGCTCAATATGGGCAGAGAAGCTCGCACCATCATAATGTGAAATCGTTCGCCATGAAATATATTTAGCCCAATTGTGAAAGGAAATTACCATTGATTGAAATGGAAATGACAGTCTCTAACATGCATCATCTGTAGGACATCCGTTTGGGTTTTAATTAATGTCGTGTTGATCTTTCCATGCCAGTAAAATAATCTCCATGTACATGTACATATCTGTGCATGCATGTTAGCCATGTACAATGACCTCCAATAAAAAAAAAATCAACAACACTGAGATATTTTACTTCTATGATTGTTGGTACAAAACAAAACAAAAACAAACAAATTAATAAACAAAACAGACCTCACCAAAATGTTTTCTATCATGGTCCACTATACTCATCCAACTATCTACATGTGTACTTATTTTCACTGACTGACTACATGTATGCATGTCTGCTGTGTGCCAAAACGCCATGCGTATTGCCTGCCACTGGGTGCGCAAACCAAGCAGAATGTTTTGCTTTCAGCAGAACTTTGTAAAAACTGGCTCCTGGGCAGTACAGAAGAGAGATTGCATGCTTTTCTCTTTCATTTTAATCACAAGAGAACAGAAACAGGCTGTGCATGAAACTGGAGATAAAAATGACTTCTGGAACAAACCTGGAAAAAACCCTGCTTTGTGGGCTTGGTTTTAGAAATGTTATCTTAAAGTGAAATAAAAAACAGAATTGAGAAATTCTCAACATACGGGAAACGAAAAAAAAAGTACACAATAAAATTTCCTTATTGTGGGTGCAACGCTGCATGCACACAAAATGTACAGGTGCGCACATCAGTGCGCTGCTCAGTACGAAACCTGCATGTGGAAAACTCCTACAGCACCACTGGTCAATGGTTCCGTAATTGAGGATCACCCGATCATTAACATGAAAACAAGGGTCTTATACTAAATGGGATTCAAAGGTCTAGTCTGCAGTGGTTGACAGCCGAGTAATTGTCTGTAACCGAACATTGCCATGATATAAACAAGTGCATTATGGCTGCACTGTCTATCAGGTGGTTATTTGTATGAATTAAGAGTTCAACGTATGGCTCTGCTTTGTATGGATATCTTTGGAGTTTGGGTCTGGTTTTTATTGTCGTTGACATGCAGATGAAAATGACCTGCAGTGTTGGTGAAAGCAACCGAGAGTCCTCAAAATTCAATGTGATTTTTCTCACAACCCAGGGAGTTAGATTTTCAGAACTTCAAATAACCAAGCAATCCTCAGTAGGGGGATTTCAGCTGCAAGCATGTGGACTACACATCCAAAACAAGAAATGGAATATGGTTTGGCTCACCTGCAACAGGAATTAGCATGATAATGCTCAAACTTGTACTTTTTTCTGTCAAATTGGAATAAATTTACGGGCTTACCTGCATCACTGAACATGACTCCAAGTTATAGGAATGTTGGTGACAACAGAGGGGCAGGTTTTAGTTTGTAAGTTAAATAAGCACAACTTCTAAGGCATTTTTGTGTTTCATATTTTGTCTTTGTATCGGATTTGTTTTTATTTTATGGTCATAAATTACTTCAAACTAGACAGGTTAGAACAATACACCAAATGCATATCAGTTTAGGTTTCAGGTGCATCGTATTTGATGAAAAAGATAAAGAGCAGGTGAAAAAAGATGACAGGGATAACAAGCGCTGACCACATACTACATGTGCAGGTAAGTCCACAGATGCTTGTTAGGTTCTTCTACCTCGACGATGGAAAAAGTTGTCGATCTCTTCCGATGCCATGTTCAGACTCGTGCACAAGCGCGAGCATGCGGCCTGCCTGTGGTGTTGATGCGTGGGTGCGTGTACAGTGTGCATGTACACGACTTGTACAAACAACGTACATGTACGCCTGCAATGCATAGACTTGACATAGTCCTTGGAGTGTTTGGCATGACATCGACAACAAGATATTTTTTTTTTAAACAATCCCCCCATTTGGATTGGATCATTCAAATATAGTTACAACAAACAAGTAATAATAAAAAGATGTGCCTTGCATCCCGCCTGCCAGCTTTTCGGATGTTATTCATTTTTTAAAGTTTTGTAACTTTTAAATTTTTATAAATGATTTTATTACTATTTATAAGCCCAAACCACTGTCAATGAGTCATGTTCTCTTTTAATCAGTGGACACGTCAGTAGTTCTTTGAAATTTTAAAAATATTAATAAAACGCCCAGTCTCTTTCCCCTTATTAAGAATCCTGGATACTAATTTGGTTTTTACACAACCAGGAAACCAAGTATAAATACATAGAAAACCATCACTACATTAAATACATAGAAAACCAACACGACGTTAAATACAGTGAAAACTTAAAGGTGCAGTGTACACGACATTTTAGAAAAAAGAATGTGATTGAGATCTTACAAAAAAAAATAATTTAAGCACTGCCTGCCGGGGACTCCGGAATCGGAGACGTATGGTTTATATGCATGGCCGGGGTCTCCGAACATGGACAATGGAAACAGGGCCTGTAACAAAAGACCGTACTCCAAACAAAAGACCAGGGTGCTGGGCATTACTGACATTTTTCACTCTCAAAAGTGGTGATAATCCAGCCTTGTTTTAAAACCATATACCAGGGTTTGGGGCATTGAGAGCGAATGGATTACCACCGGGGACAAAAGCGCTCCACCACCACAGCGATGAGCCACACAGCACCGCTGCACGCTAACCTGGCCCCTATTGAAAAGGTCAGCAGTGCACTGAGCCAGGTTTGTGAACAAAAGAAAGTTATATAACACCGCACAATCTGGGATCTGTTTACAAGGCTACAGGCCTGGCTGAAATACTCAGGCATCAATGAAGGTCACCTGTCAACTTAGAGTAGTGCCTAAAGATTACTTCGTGCGGCTATAAACGACCGTTAAATGAAATGATGAATTTTTGAAGGATTTTGAAAACAGAAAAAATGATAGTCATGCCGGCCCAGCACCATCAACATTGAAAAATGCCCCGGCACGAAGTGGTTAATACAAATTTGAAACATATTTAATGCTGTAGTTTCTTTTCTTTGAAAACAAAATGAAGTGGTCATGAGAAATCTGTTCAAAGGTGTTTGTCATTATTCGCTTCTTTGTTGCAGGGCTGTTTAATCACACTATGTAAAACAATTGCAGACAGTTTCATAAACTTACTTTTTTTTCTAAAAGCTGGTTTTTTTTGGCAAAGATCTCATGAAAAATGTCAGAAATTTATCAGATGCCACCAGAGAGCATTTAGAATAGCCGGAGCTTCCAGGGCCCTTAAGCAGGCCCTGGATTCCGGCCGTAAGGGACTTCACACTGCGGCCTCGTGTTACGTGCTTTGCACACAAATTTTGGACTCTAACAAGATTGCACTTCCTGTTTTTCATTTTGCACTCCCACTTTTCAAATCCTAGCTGAAACAGTGAAGGACATGCAGACAAACCTATCTGAGGAGACACTACATGTACCTAGCAAGTGTGGTGGTACCACCCTTGTATGCTACACGTCCTCAAATTTAGAACACTGAGCATTTCAGCTTTTTTAAGGTAGCCATAAACGTGCTAATGGTCGGTCGCAGAGGCATTACGCGCCCGTGTTAGTCTTGTATGCATGCTAGTGTGGTTCTAGTGAAGCAATAGCGGCTGACGGATGGATTAGTCTGTACTGCATTTGCTCTATAATTCCTCGCCTTCCACCTCTACAATCCCGGGTTCGAATCCCGGCCCAGTCCACATGTGGATTGGGTTTTCAGTCCCTGCCTGATTCCGTGGGTTTTACCCAAAATATTCCTTTGGGGTTTTCCTCCCACCTCTAAAACTGTAACTGCTTCTCAATGTCTCCTCTCTACAGGTTTCTTCAGGCTTGTGAGCTACAGTGCCTCGGGCACTTTTGAGGAATCGTTGGTGTCATCACCAGAAATATAATGGTAATAATATTAACAGGCAAACAATGCAGATTTAACACAACCATCAACATCTTTGCCCGGTAGCTACCCAACCTTCAGGTGCATGATGGGAATGGCCCTTAGTTGTCATTTCATAACTGGCCTTTTTACCACCCGAAATGCAACATGTGGCAGTGTCTGAATCAACTGACTATGGCTAGGAATATTACAGTGGTCTATGAGAAGTGGCACGGCCACTAGACAGTGACTCCCATAGACACCTGTGTTCCTGCTAGCCTGAGCCATGGCCATGACTTTTTCAAACATGGCCTACTTCGGCTCCGAGTCCAAATGGAAAACCCTGCTGGACACTCTCTCTCACCTTAACGTGGCTCTGGGCACCCAGGTTGTAGATCTCAGTCGGTCGCACCTGGCTTATGATCTTGACCAGGCAAGTACTGTCTGTGAGGTCGCCGTAGTGTAGTACCATGTCTGCAGATACAAATGAGGAACAGGCCAAGAAATAATCACAATGGCTGGGAAGTAATACTAGAGATGAACAACTCAATTTGATTGATTGCACCACGAAGCGGTGCATTGTGCAGAAAATACCGTAGCATAACCAATCTTACAAATCAGCAGATCGTCGGTTACTTTTCTTTTCATTTTTAATTTTGTAAAGACTAAGAATTCCTCAGGCAAAAAAATGTGTTTAGCACTTTCAACTCCTGTCACCTGAAAAAAAAAAGAGTACAGGTCTCATGCGTATGTATGATCCTGCATTGAAGTCATCAGTCCTTCACTGTGAAAGTGGTAACACACCAATGCAAATTCATTTCCAAGCCCTTCAAATGACTTTTTCACGAGAGAAACTTCCCACTGACGTCCGGCGCATCCAAAAAAGAGGTGACATGCACCAAACCCTCGTGTAGCCATGTCAACCATTTTCTCTTGGCACCTCTTGGCGGCGTACTGTACTGTGTAATTGGATTCGATCTAAATTATGTTCACGTCCACTCGTGTCTATAGCTAGGTCTGTGTTTTTCTCCTATAGCAAATACACGGTCGCATGCTGATGACAAAGCTCTAGCCCTCGACACCCACTGTGAACACAGTGGATATGAACTAGCCAGCCTGAGTACGGTCACTGAGTGATGAGTAGGACTTCCATGCTAATAAACGGGAGGTTGTGAGTTCCAGTCCTACCCACTACTCATGGACTCATGACTGCGGACTTCCCCCAGGCACATACCCAATAAACACAAATACTCCCTCATTGGTCAGGATGACAATACGGACCATCAAAAATAGATAGGTATAGGTATGTGGCTTGGAAAAACTGCGAGCTTAAATCACAGCTTCCTGTAATTCTTATCCGGCAACATCCATTTCACATTAATTTGTTTGCATTATACATTGTACACATGAAGTTTCTGAAATAACTGCACAAATCAGTGATACAACCGCCCAATTTTTCTGAGCCGTGTATGTATCCCGTATCTGCACCATTTCTAATGGACCCTAATTAAAAACACCACTGGCACCTGGCGTCTACAGCTATAGGTTAATGAAATCACTCCTGCCAAGGCCTGCTCCGTGTCTGATGGATGGTCACAAACCAGAGAGTGCATCATCCGAACAGAGACTGTTGCTTGGTAACAATCTGTCTCTGAAGTTTGCACAAGGAGTCCATCATGGAGGAGGATACTGACAAGAATATAATAAAAAAATCAGTTCTCTGGAATACGTGATTGCCGAGCTTTCGGTAACTGAGTACCTTCTTCAGGGCAAGCAGATTCAGTTCGGAGGACGTGGATGGAGGTGGAGGACGATGATGTGGGTTCGAGTCCCACCCATCAGCCCTTGCCACCTATGTGTACATGTACATACAGCACGCCTAGGGCTAAGGACTTCTCCTTGGTATGAATATCGCCCTGACAAATGATTAGACTCCCACCACAGCCAACCTGACAACCACTGAAACCAGGGCTGTCGTTTCAGGCAGCAAACCTCCTGGGTATCTCAGCCAAGCATTACCTCTCATCTCATGTGTCCTGGTGTCAGCGTACAGGTGGGCAATGCGGCCTGTGTTGAAGGAACTTGACCTGCGTAAGATGCCGTGCACCTTGTGAAAGAAGAAAAAAACATAAATCTGAATGAGCACTTGTAGTTCGCCATGATCTCTATAACGCCCCTTATTTGAAAGAACTCCCCCAACAACAAAACAATTTGATTACAGCTGGCAATGGTGCCTGCATTTACAATTCAGTAAATACCACAGAATCTGAGCCAAACTTCACCATTTTGACCCCTGCGTGAAGGGGCAATAGTGGCATGTACACCCCAAGCGCCTTCAGGCACAGGGTCAAAACAAGTCAAAGGGCCTGGATTCAATTCAAACCCTCACTGTAAACAAGGTCAAATGAAAACACTCCCAAAGTTGGCTTCATGTAAAATCCCATCTGATGTTCGTGCACTAAGTACAGGGCCCGTGTATAAATTAGGGGTCCAAACTAAAGCCTGAGGCTAAAGATGAATACAAACTCCATCCCCCATCATCTTCGGCTCAATCTGCCCTTTTAAAATGTTCACCTTGTATCCTTTGGATAAAAGCAGCTCTGCAAGGTAGGAGCCATCCTAAGTGAACAAGAAAACAAATTAAAACCTTTAAATCAATTTCTCAAAAACAAAAACTGACACTTTACAATACTATGAGAAGCTGACTCAGAGTCAAACGATTTGTAGAACCTTGTCAGTGTGTGGCTGGATCAGGCCAAGTGCGACAAAGCTGTAGTTGGTTCACTGTCAAAGTCTGGGATTACATGTAAACCCGAGTATGGAGTGGCATGGTAGAAACTGGACCAAGACTCGGTAGACCTCTGTCTACTAACCACAATGAATGAGTAATGCGAAAAGACGAGCAGCTCAATGAAGTATATTGTTCAAATTATGTACACGTATCTGCTCGGCAAGACAAGTCCTCCTGCCAATGCTTGGGCAGCGTCTTAAGCGGACCATTTTGACTAGATACAAACATTCAAAGCCAAGATCAAAAGCCTATACATAAAAAAATTCAGCCTATACCATCTTATTTCCAGGCTTCATTCCCAGTTTTGAACCTCAGTGTCTTTCAACAGAAACATTTTACTGTTTGGCAGTTGGGAAATTATGTCCAAGTGATTTTCATGTGATTTCCAATTGAAATGGGTACACTTGCATTTATTTGGTTGGATTAATATTTTCACATTGTCAAGAACAAGTGCCAGCAGCTTTGTGGCACAGTGAGACCAAGCACCGTCGATATATCGATATTTTCGATACGGGTTTGATATCGATATTGCCGATGTTAGTTTTTTGGTAATATCGATATATCGAAAATATCGGATTTTCGAGAAATATCGAAAATATCGAAACTTTGAAAACATGGTTATTGAAAAATATACGGAAAATATAACTGCTCAGGAACAAATTTTCTTAAAAGTACGAAAGTGCATTGTCACATTACCGTAATTTTAATTTTTGATAAGCCACTCTTACATTGGTTCTCACGCTAATGTTGTTAACCTTTTACACACATAACTGTGCATGTGACATATTCACTTCAGTACTCTTTAGTGTCACCATGGACCTAGCCTAAATACAACCACACAGAATGTTGGCATTTACTGGGCACAGTGCACGGTACATGCAGCTAACTTGTATGTAGTCAACTTTACCTCTTGAGGAAAGACTACCGGCAGCATAGGGGTTACAGCAATTGATGCATTGACACCAACCCCTATAGAGCGCATGTGCGTGTGTGTTGTATGATTCCATTGCGTCGTCAAATGTACATGTACAGTACGTACACTCTGCATGTATGTTTACTGTATCGTGTGTTTACATGGTTGAGTTTTTGATAGCTAGTCAGGTACCTCTAGCTTGCAATGAGGTAAACCTACAGGGTAACATACTACATGTATGTTCTACTCTTTCTCTGCTTTTTTTCTTACATAAGCTAATGGTGCATGTAACTTTCCGGAAGTGTACGTAAACTTTTTCAATTGCATGCACTCGTGGTACACGCAGAATATTTTTTCTAATTCAAAGCCAAGTTGCAGTTAGTATTCTCTATTGACATCGGTCTGCAAACTCCGCCCTTATTTGCATAATCATAAATATGCATTGCCACTCTAAAGAAACATAATTCGTTGATAGTATCTAAAACAACAATGATTGATTGGACATTTCAGATTTTATATGTACAAAATTTAAAAAGGATAGTGCAACAGATGTTATCTGTTCTGCACTATCTGGAACATTTTGGTGCAAAAAAGTGAAGTTCACTTTTTGTAGCTGTGACTAGAAAGGTGTACTGTAGGACACTGAGTCCAAAACCACTCTCACGCTTGTCAGTAGATGGCATGAGAACTGTCAATTAAGATGAAAATTAAAATGAATAAATATTGATATATCGATAATATCGATATAAAAACACTGATATATCGATATCGGCCAAGATACAATATAGGTGATATGCTGAATGTTCCATTTTTCTCTTGGGTTCCCTAGCTCAAAGGATTACATGTACACGTACATGTACCTCATGAAGTCAGACACCAATATTACACCACCCCTGTTTCAGTAAAGTCAACTCAAACAAATCAATTCACAACAGCTGTGCAACCGAGCCTTACATGTACGTCCAAGTCCAATGAATTTGCCTGCCATCAACTTTACCACCATCCTGATATCCCGATCTTTATATATACATTCAGGCAGTAAAGACTCTACCCTTATCAAGGCATAAGGACCTCTGGACACTACACACGCCTATCAATGTACATGTACAACAAGCGAAGCTGCCAGTATCCCATGCACCAGGCAATGAACCAGCGGTATCTGAGGTCCTCAGCTTATCTTCGTGCAAAGTCCCTCAGCCTTATCTCGACTGGAGGCTCACTCAACACCCATCGATTAGCTGACATGTGGAGGGTGAGAGAGAGGAGGGCATTTTGGGGGGGGGAGGGAGGGAGGAAAGGAGAGCATCTCCTGTCCCAGTGTGCTGTCAGTTTGCACTTTTCGGCTCGCTGGTGCGAATCGAGGTTAGATCTGGTCGACCGCGACTAGCAAGGGGTAGAGGACAAGTGGGGCATCCTTTGGCAAGCCACAATGCAAACCTTCAGAGGACTTTAGAGAGAGGAGGTGATGGACAGATGGACCGGTTACCATTTTGGATGATTTGAACAAGTTCCATCCAGCAAACAAGATAGGTAATCATAAAAGCAAGTATAGCCCAGATTTTTTTCAGGACAGGGAAGGGGGGAAGCACTCAGCAATAGCCACGGTTGACAAACTTTTCACAGCGGGAAGGGATCAACTCCCGGATACTGTCCAGCAATTGGTTAGTTTCATCCCCTCTCTCTGTTTTGCCTCTTTGTCAACTTTTCAATTTTTTTCAAAGAAAGGCACTTCCCTCCCCATGCACCAGAACCCAGTGCATTGTGATGACACCCATCCTGTGGAAACATCCACATTCGAAAAAAAGAATCAACATTTTGTTCCAAAAAAGTGTGAAATCAGTTGACAAGAAAGTGTCAAGCACTCTAGTTCACAGTTGTTTATTCTCTATCCCATGTGGAATTCAAAGAAAACCAAAATTTAAAGGCAACACGTACATTTGTATCATGTGACTCAGAAAAACCAGTAATTCCAGTTCTTTAACTCTAAAAGATTTGATAACAAGCTGTCCTGGCATCTGGTTGTTTTTTTCCAATCCAATTTAATTTCCAGAAAACTCTCAATTTATGTGCGGAATTGGAAAACACAGAATACATTTCCTTGAATCAGAGAGATTGGATGACACTGCATTGTCCAATTTTGGGATGTTAGTTTAGTTGGTATGTGCGGCATTCATTTCAAGAAAACCCAGGGATTTCATGTCAACAGAGAAAGGATCCTGCTCATTAAATTCTGACGAAATTTTTATCAAGCATCCATCGGGTACATGTTTGAAAACAACGCTCAGTAAATGCAAAGAGAGCCATTGCCAATGGCTAGCTGGATGACACATGAATCTGAAATTTAAAATATGACAGAATCAATCAACCGTTTCTCCATGTACAGTGTGTTTGTTTACGCGATACCAACTTCTGTTTCACTTTCCATGCATCCACCTCAATCCGTGTTTATGGCCAAGCATCCGCTGGACAGCAAACCTGGCACTTTCAAGCACAGCACAGAAAAAAAAAAAAATATAGGGGAATCGATCAGGTCCCCGGAAAACAAACTGGAAAACAAAACTGAATAAACCTTGCGGACGTGAGCCTTTAAAACCAGTTTCTATAACGCTGGTTAGCAGCAACCAAAACTCAGGAACTCGGTCAGCTCTAGAAGAACTTTCTGTTATTGCCGAGAACTTGTACAGGTAGCTGAAGTACGCAGAAAGTTCACCCTTGGTTGGTGACAGGGTTTGCCCCGGAAGGCACATTGCCCTGCGGATGTTACAGAAGGAGATATTTCATTTTGTACATGATTCTTCTGCTTTTGTACTGACGGTCAATTACCGGCCAAAGATGGGCAAAAAATGCAACTGGGACGTAGGGAGAGAAAGGCCTGTTGGGATCGGGGGGGGGAGCCAACTTGACTCTTGTGGATGACCTCAATCGCACCAGCACTACTTCAGACATGTGCCAATGAGCAAAGTCCGATTTTCTGGTGAAATCCGCAGGCTAGCACAAGTACACGTACATGTACATATAAATGCAAAGGCGTTCCACAGCACTTCCTGTTGAATGACCTTTCCTGCTGGAAGTACAAGTGCAAGTGTTTTTGTACTAGTCGAATCTCGGCATAGGATGGCCTCAAGAGAGGTGACGTAAAGTACACATACGTAAAGTATGCCTAAGGGTTCATGTACAGTGTAGTGTCTATTTGGGGATGATGTGAGCTTTACTTCAACAGACCCTCAAGAAAATAAGCACCCGTCTCCCTTCTCACGCTCTTCTAACTCAGACAGCTTTAATTCATACAAATGAGCACCGTCAAGCAACATGACTCGCCTCATGTATCATCGTTTGTCATGAAAGAATCTCGGGGTAATAAATGACAACAGCTACATGTACTGGTCTCCCAAAAAAAAGCAAGAAAAAAAAAAAATTGATCGACGGCTGTAACAACCTCCAAATCACAAACACACATGCCTTTCGACTCTAGCACCAGGCCCACACTTCCAACTGAGAAGCAAAGACCAGGCCAGCTCCAGCACAAAGCTCTCGGTCTCTCGGTTCACAGTCCCCAGTGACCTAATATTGACACAACGGGTCATTCCGACAATGCGGACATGGACTCCCACAGGACGCATCAAACTGTCAACTCGGTGGAACGTGCTAACTCCACAGGAAAGTGCCAGTCTACATCTTACACGCGGGAACTGTACATATCTCGAGGGCTGGTAACCGGGAGTGATGTAAGCACGTGTACAAGCATGCCTGTCCCATCATCAATGGAACATTTGTAGGCAGTATTTCAAATGCTTGATCAGATAGATGTCCAATATAGCTTGAAGACCAGCCTACCAGGGACAATTCTCAAATCTCTTGACTCCTAACTTGTAACTACGAGTGACAAAGCAGTTACGATACAGCTCAATGAACACA